TGATATGAACGATTTGCAACAACATATTATTACATTTTAAACATATATTACGTAATTTGAGGCCACAAAGGGCCAGAATGCTGAATTTTTGACGCATTATATATCAAAAAGGGGGAATATTTGGCTACGTCATATTTAACGAAAAACGTTCAAGATATTTTAATTGTCTTTTTACAAATATCTTTGTCAAAATTACATCTCATCTTATCAAAAAAATACGACGGAAAACCTACTCGTTGCTCGCAACGAGATCGTTTCTAATTAATATTTCTTTTTTATAGTACACATGATTTCTCGGAAACGACTAAACCAATTTCAAAGATTTTTTTTCAGAAATGATACATTGTTGTAATATCTCCAGACTTTTTTTTCCATTTTTTAAAAATCATTTACGATTGCATTTTTTGTCCGATTTTCTTTCTTTCTTTTTTTTAAATTGTCATTTTGTCCACGCAACTTACTGTTCACGGTAGCTCAGTCGGTAGAGCGCTCTTCCCGTGATGGGGAGGTCGTGATTTTGAATCTGAGCTGCGATTGACCTAAGTCGATAAAAATGGGTAGCAATTGTTCCTTCCACAGGTACTTGTGGACAGGACCCCCTCCCTCCGATATTCAACCCTGGGGCTTATTGGACATTTTTTTTCAGAAATTATATTTATTACATTTATTCATCATGCGTACAAGATGAAAAAATCACCAAACCCCCAAATTAATTACACCACTATACATTATAAGAGAGAAAGGTATGCCACTACATTTTGTTTACGTTGTACCCCAACTGGTCTTTCTGAGTTTAAATACATGTATTTATTTTATTTCAACACAAAATGTCGATTCACATCGTCTCTACATCTATTTCTGTCTTAGTTCATGGTATCGGATTGACTCTGCATCTCGTAAGAATCCCACAATATCTCCTTAAACAGTATTACAATCAGAACATTGAAATTTCCTAAAGTAAAAGTAACGGAAGTGCATAGAGAATGCATGATAACACCTGAGAGAGATTATAACGTCAAACCAAAACTCTCTCGGACGTTATCCTAATAAGTGAAACTCTATGTACTTCCGTTGCGATTATTAAGGAAATTTCAACGTTCTGACCGGAATACTGTTTAAAGAGATATTGTAATATTCTTACGATATTTCTGAATAGTTGTTGAACAAGAAAAATCTTTCAAATATTGAAATTTATTAGTTGATATGAAGGTAATTGGTCTGACACCTTAAATTAAGAGCCCAGAAGGGCCAAGACACTTTCAATTATAGCTTTTTTAAATCTTTTAAAAACAAAAAAAAATAGATCACATGAGAGAAGTCTTGATATCATAATGTTTTATCAAAAATCATAGTCAAAATCATATCTCATCTTATCGAAAAATCGGACGGAAGACCTACTCGTTGCTCGCAATGAGATCTCATCTAGTTGAATATTATTATTGAATTTGTCTCCAAGTCAATTAGACATGCAAGAACATGTTCTTATTCAAACAATTAGTTGGGTAAGGGGTTTCGGCAGAGGTTTACATGTACATACTGAAAGCTCGGATTGAATGTTTCGATACATCCTTGTATGGGTATTGAAGACTCAGCCTTATAATATCAGCTTTAAACATAAGGTACTGACCAAAACATTCCTGGACTATATCTTATTTAAAATTTCGACACTTTATGACAATTAAATAAATCATATGATACGACATTACGTTTTCCTTTTATTTAGAAGCATGTAACTGGTGTTCACAGCAATGTTCAACCTGTCAGAAAACGACTACTCCATGTCAAATAAGTCCTCCAAGTAAGTTCAAAACAGGATTTAATTTGCATATTAAAGGTACACCAAGTTCTTTTTAAAATTTACTAGTTTATTACATTAGCCATACTTAATATGACATACGAGGTAAGATTGGCAATAGTATATTGTAGGTCTGCCATACAGATTTATACTGACATCAATTTTTTTCAGCTTCCCCTTCCTGTCAATGTACAAGTACATCTCCAATAAATTTTACTGGTTCTACATCTGAGACTATTGCTACGCACATAGGTATGATTTTATTATTCAGTATGGTGAAATAAACCTGATTTTGTTTATGGGATCCCACAAAGCACAAATAAACTCAGTCACTGTGAGAGATATAATAAAATTATGATGCACTGACTGTGAATCCGACCCAATCATTTATCTGCATTACAAAATGAAATTATTAATAAAAGCTCATTTGCCCTGTTATCATTAAGGTATCTTTTTAAATTTATTTAGATATAAGTACATGTAATAAGGTATTATTTTTCAAACTTTTAGCCAATCAGAGAGGTTTAATAATGAGGAAAATATATTTTTTACATCAACAAAGAGTTGCCATCGTGACATCATTTTGTAAATCATAAATATTTGTATATCTGTTAATCATTGACCAATTCGTTTTTGTCATCTTTCTTATTGATGTTGTAATATTCAGATATCATTTGCAATGGTATATAACTATCAAAACTACTTTAACTCTGGAAAGCATGCTTTGAGTACGATAAATCTTTTAAGCGAGAAAGGCCACTCATAGGTAAAATGATGCTTTAGGAATTTGAAGAACGCCTTTTAATGTCAGATATATTTGAATTACATAATCATTATTATGATCATTGGTTTCAAATGTGTCTTACTTTTTATACCCATTTTAAGACCAATAATGTATAATAATATATCAATTATGACTACGGAATGTTCTGTCTAGCTGATCAATACATCGCTCAATGGGGGAGGGTGTATTTCTCCTCAGCACCTGATCCAAGCTATGATTTCGAGAGTTCGTATTTGATGTAGCGTATTGGTATCACAAACGTGTTTGTTTTTTTTATGAATCACACTGCTCGTTAGTCATTATATTAACGTTTTTCAATGCATCATTAAAGACTTTTCCATTTCAAAAGATTGTCCTCTTTGTCCAACCCCAACTGGAAGCACACTTTACAATGGTTCATCGGCAAAAGCTTCAACAACCGATAAATCATTTTAGTGTTATTTAGTAATAAATGTTGTTTAGTTATTGAATATACATCATTAAAAACTTTTCCATTTCAAAAGATTGTCCTCCTTGTCCAACCCCAACTGAAAGCACAGTTTACAATGGTTCTACGACAGAAGGCTTCAACAACCGGTAAATCATTTTAGTGTTATTTAGTAATCAATGTTGTTTAGTTTTTGAAGAGTGTTGCTGCAAAAAATAAGTTCACATTCTTTCTATTATAGTTTGCCCACCTTGCCCGTGTACATCGTCAGCAGGAAAATATACTGGATCTACAGCGAGTTTTACTAAAGGTTTACTTATCTACATATAACATAGGGTTCCCAAAAAGAAAATAAGTGTTTCCTGTTTACTTTTGGAAACTAGGATCTTCTTTCTTTCTTGTTTTGCATAGTAGCGTAACATATACTTTCCGTTTATTCGGATATTTTGTTACCATATATACATGTGGTCAACAATTGTGTAAGCAGATTTTAACAGTAATTGGCTCACAAGAAAACTATTTACTATAGACTTTACGAAAAACCTCTAAAATTGATTTTAATATAGCAAGATCCTTTAGTAGCATTCCACTATTCGAAGAAAAAAAATATGTTTAAGTGATATATATAAGTTGAATTCTTGAGTACACTAAGAATTAGATAGGTAAAAATATTCAAAGTACTAGCTTAGAAACGTTTGAAATGTGTAAATATTACATATACATGCATAAAGAAAGTATTTTTCTATGAAAATTTAGATAATTTCACTTAAACTGCGCAATAGGTTACATGTCACTTTTTTGTGGCTTAAGTGGAAATAAACGTAGCCAATTGTCTTTCAATTTATAAAAAGTGCAATTTAAAGTAAAGTATAGATTATGAAAAGATTGTAAGGTCTTTTTCAAAAAGAACAATTATCCTTGATCATTTTAGATGCTAATTCTCCTTCCATTGCAGATGAGATTTCAAGAGGTCATGGTAAATATATCATTTCTGTTTAAGCTCTAACCATAGCTCTATAAGCTCTTTAATAGAAAGTTCAAGGTCGTTGGTTACTTTAAAGTATTTACAATTTCTTCTACTGACTTAGTAAAAGGATTTAATTTTTTTTTTTGAATATTCAAGAAAAAAAAATCAAGATTAATTATGAAATTATGAATATGAAAGTTTTTAAACTTCAAGCATGGTTTATTTCTAATTTTATTCATTTTATTAAATAACATATTCAAGCATATTTAACAAAAAAGTGGCCTTACATTTTAGCAGCATTTTTTTCACAGATTTAGGGGAATATTTTTCCAAGATTTAGCAGAATTTTACGTGCACAGATTAACAAAAGTAAAACAGAAAGCTATTGTGATAATATGATAGATGTATCAACATCATTGCTTTAAAACTTATTGCAATTAGAAGCGTATGTTTATAAAGTTACTATGGTATTATGATATTTTTAGAGAAATGCATCCTGATGAAACAAGATATACTTGGCGTAAACCTTCCCCTTGTAAACAAGCAAAATTAGATTTCTTTCTCATATCAAATTCTTATTTAAATAGTGTTGAAGAAAGTAAAATTCTGAATAGTTATAAATCCGATCACTCACCGATATATCTAAAGATTAAATTAAATAAGTGTACTCATGGAAAAGGTTTGTGGAAATTTAATAACTCACTTCTTAAAGATATCAAATATATTGAAACAATCAACAAAGTTATTCAGGAAACAAAGGAAAATAATGCATTACCTATCTATTCTAAAGAATGTGTCAACAAAATATCAGATGAAGAAATTCAGTTTACTGTAGATGAACAGCTTTTCCTTGAAATACTCTTAATGGAAATTAGAGGCAAAACCATCTCTTTTTCCGGTTATATAAAGGAAAAAGTAATGAGAAAGAAAATCAGTTAATTTCTGAAATTGAAACTTTGGAAAAAGACTACAATAAAAATATACAAACAATAAAGGATAAAAAAAAAAGGAACTGGAAAATATAAGAGACCATAAACTTATGGGAAATATCATAAGGTCTAGAGTAAAATGGATGAATGAAGGAGAAAAACCTACTAATTACTTTCTAAACCTTGAAAACAAACACAATACAAATAAAATAATCCCTAAATTGATTAAAGATGATTCAATAGATTCCGAAATAACAAATCAGAAAGATATTCTTCTTGAAATTGAAAAATATTATAAAACACTTTTAATGAGGCTAATTCTGAGATGACAGATATTGATCTAAGTGATCATACTTGGGACATTGCTGCAGAAAAACTTTGTGATACACAAAAGAATAGTCTTGAAGGGGAGATAACTTTAAATGAAGCGTAACTAGTTTTGAAAAAAATGTCAAACAATAAAAGTCCTGGAAGCAATGGTTTTACAACAGAATTCTTCAAAGTTTTCTGGAAACAGCTAGGATATTTCATAGTAAGATCAATAAATTATGCTTACAAAAAAAGGAGAGCTTTCTGTAACACAAAAACAGGGAATTATCACTTGTATACCTAAAGAAGGAAAAAGTAAATTTTTAATAAAAAATTGGCGCCCAATATCTTTATTAAACGTTGTATATAAAATAGCTTCTGGCTATATAGCAAGTCGAATGAAAAATATCTTGAATACAATTGTAACTTGAGACCAGACAGGTTTTGTACCCGGAAGATACATGGGAGAAAATACCAGGTTAATTTATGATCAAATGCATTATACAGAAGAAAGAAATATCCCTGGAATGTTGTTAATGATTGATTTTGAAAAAACATTTGACACATTGTCATGGAATTTTATTGATAAAGCCCTAAAATTCTTTAATTTTAGTCCTTCTCTGAGAAGATGGGTTTCATTATTTCAATGTAATATTGTATCAGCAATTAATCAAGAAGGCCACCTATCTAATTTCTTTAAACTAGGCCGTAGTTGTCGCCAGGGTGATCCAATTTCTCCATAAATATTTTTACTATGTGCAGAAATATTAGCTTTAAAAAAAATAATAAAAATATTAAAGGGATTAAAATTGCTGGGAAGGAATACCTAATGTCTCAGTATGCGGATGACACACTAGTTATACTAGATGGAACAGAACAATCCTTACGAAATTGTATTGAAGAAATAGATAAATTTTGTAAATTATCAGGACTTAAAATTAATCTCTCTAAAACACAAATAGACTGGATAGGAAGTAAAAAATATGCAAATGAAAAACTACTTAATGAAATGAACTTTCAATGGACAACAGAATTTAAAGTACTAGGTATTTATTTTGATGTTGACTTAACTAGAGTTCCAAAACTCAATTATGACAAAAAATTGGTCAAAATTAAGAATATAATACTACAGTGGAGTAAAAGACGTACTACTCCTTTGGGTAGGATTTCACTGATAAAATCACTATTAATATCAGAATTAAACCATCTTTTTATTGCTTTACTTTCACCTTCTGAAAATTTTGTTAAAAATCTAAATTGTGTTCTATTTAATTTTCTTTGGAAATCAAAAGTGGATAAGATAAAAAGAAAACAAATTACTCAGGATTATAAGAGTGGAGGATTGAATATAATTGACTTAAATAACTACATTAAAAGCTTAAAATCATCTTGGATTAAAAAACTACTCAATGGCCAGGATTCTAAATGGAGATCACTGGTTCAAAAATCTTTTAATATCAAAAAGCTATTTAATACTGGTTCAAATTATATTGAAATAATATTATAAAGTATAACTAATGATTTTTGGAAAGATACTTTAATTGCTTTCAAAAATATAGAAGACAAAATGAAAATAGAGTCATGGGAAGATTTTATCACTCAACCATTATGGTACAATAAAAAACTTAAAATTGACAATAAGCCCATTTTTTACCCCAAATGGTTTATGAATGATGTAATTTTTATCTCAGATTTGTTAGATGAAACAGGATCTTTTTTAGAATTAGAGGATCTAAATGCAAAATTTAATATAGAAACCAACTTTTTAACATATGCAAGTTTACAGAAAGCAATAAAAGAAGCTATGGCTGTAGAAAAAGTAAACAAAGAAAGATTAAACTCAAGGCCCATTCTACCTTTTTATTTAAAATTATTCTGTCTATGTAAAAAAGGAACAAAAGCTATGTATAAAATTTTGAATACAGAACACATAGTACTTTTTCAAAAGTAAAATGGAGTAAACATTTTAAAATTCAAGATTCCCTATGGGAAAATATATATATTCCTTTTCAATGTACAAAAAGTTCTAAATTGCAATGGCTGCAATTCAGAATAAATCAGCATATCTTGGTTACAAATAAAACGTTATATAAAATAGGTTTAAAGGATATTAAACTATGTAGCTTCTGTGAGACATGTGAGGAAACAATTTTTCATATTATGTGGGAATGCCAGAAGGTTCAGGAGCTTTTACATAGTTTTACTATTCTCTGTGAAGCTCATAATATAGAGTTTCCAAACGATAGTGGTAATTTCATTTTTGGAAATCCAAAACCCAACAATAGTGAATTAAATACAATACTTTTATGTATTAAATTATTTATATATAGAAATAAATGTCGAAATGAGGTTTTGAGATTAAGAGCATTACGTGGAGATATATTAAAACATTACTATCTACGATGAAATATAGTGCAACAAAGAATAATCAAATTAATGAATTTAACACTAAATGGAAAGACTTGCTTTCACTCATGTAAGACCCTGAAACCCGACACCTAAAGACTTTTTGCCATGCTTGGACATACAAATGCCACAACTTTATTCCTATGAACATGCTCTAGATTCCTTACCATTTCTCAACCCCCTTTTTCTTTCTCTCTTCCTTTCTTTCTTTCTCTTTCCCCTATTCAATTGTCACTTTTTTTTTGTATTTGTTTATTATATGTATTAATGATGTATCATTTTGATATTGTAAACACGATGATGTGACAATTGATATTTAAAAAAAAGTTATTATGGCGCCAAGGAATTTTTATGTGCAAAACATCGTACTTTGAACAGTTTTA